CGGAGCGAGCTTTAAAGGAAGACTACAAATTGGTTCATGCCATAACTCGGCACCATGGGGGGGAATTGGAGTTCATTATGTTAGGTTTAGTTAGGTTTTGTGTATTTTACCCCCTCTCCTGTTTTTGTGGGCTGATCAGCCACTATTTAAGTTTCCCCTTTGTCTCGTTAAGTGAGGTCAGTTGGTTTGAGTTATCAGTACTGTTGTCAACTTTGAGTTTTGTTATTTTGACCTCTTTTATGAGCCCAAGATTTTGATTCTTTTGGCATGATTTAACTAATTATGTTTTTTGGGTTAAAAAAAAAATCATTTTTTCGGACTTTAACCTGTACCTAAGTTTCCTTCACTGCTCGGTCCATCACACAGTCCAAGACGAGACTAAAAGTTAATGAATAATTGTGTTAAATATTACAGTTATATTTCAAAATGATGCTGATTGTTTTGTGAAACAGTCGAGCAGCTTGAAACTCGCTGATGAAACATGTCTCTATGAAGATCGTCGTGCAACAAGCATTTCCAGTCAGCTACTGTGACCGTAACTTGTTTTATACTGCATGAGGTCATCATCGTGAACACTCCCTGCTTTAGCGCACGTCCGCCGAGCCAAGGTTAGCAGGCATGTTGGGACTGGGCTGTTTTATTGTACACAGCAGCAGCCTGAAGGTATGGCTGTGATTAAATAAAAGGAAGGACTGAACCAAGACGCAGCAGGTCTGCTTACCTGAACAACAAAACAATATTCAGTTTCCATCATTTCATGTAATTCAGTAAAGATCATGTATGAAACAAACTATTTAAAGAGCAGCTGTTTTACCCATTTCCAGTTCCATATCTTTGTCAGTGGACCCTACTGCAGTAGCTTTGCATGATTCACAGTTCACAATAATCCTGATTTCTTTTACACCAGGACGAGTAGCTGCACCTCTCAAAAAGAAGGGTTGAACAGCAAGTAGGTTGGATGTCTCTGGCCAAGATGGCAATTTTGAGAATAACTGCCTTGAATCACATCATACAGATCCAGACAGTTGTCTTAGATACAGCACACAATGTTAAGAAATCCACTTCACGCGTTCTTAACACTGGAAATGATCGGTTTCATGGAGGTGAACGCCGGTGTTTAGTCAGTTTAAATCAATTTCTCATTTTCCGTCTTGTTGCAGTTCGTTTGTGCAGATGTAAATAGAATCGCACTCGAGTGCGGACCAAAACAACCGCACCGAGACGCTTTGGAGGACGTCTGTGCGGCTCCAAATGAACTCAGCAGTTCGTTTGTGGTGTGAACAGGATACGAGCTCAGTCAGGCCCAATTACCAAGTAGATCTTGAAGGTTTGAGCTTCCCGTAGTCACGTGCGGTTATTTCTTTGTATTCTGTGAAGCATGAGGTACTATAGATGTGCACAGGCTAGCAACTAGCCGCCCAACATAAATTGTTTTTTTTCAGTTGACACGTTTAGAAACTTGTGAACTGATTCTGACCGGAGGAAATAAACTGTAGGTGTGAAACGCGCTCATCCACTGTTTAATGAGTTAAAGATTTGCTTAATGGAGCATCGTGTGCTCATATTTTAGCATTTTTAACTTTGCATATTCAACACTGGAGTTGTCTGGTTTGTATGACAGCGGTGCTGAACGTCTGTCAAACAAAAGCACTAGGAAAGCATTTCCTTTTTCAACGATTTAACTGAAGAAGTCTTCTTCC